AGGATGTTGGAGTTTTTCTTCCAGTTGCTGTCACTGGAAGGGCACCCAGTGCAGCTGTTTACAGACTGTTTCTGTGTTGCATGTGATGTTGGATTTCCATACACTGCTGGATATTGGGGTTCACCTGTATTTGCTTCTAAAGCCTTAGGTTTGTGCATGAGCTCTGATAAGGGCAGAGATTGTGACTGAATCTCTTTACCATGTTCCCTTTCCTGTCAGCCTCAAAGGGCATCCATTATCTATGTCCTTGTTCCTGTGGTAACTCTGCAACTGTTGCTCTGTGCTCTCCTCCACCTGAACAGTGGCAAGTGCTGGAGAGACTTTCTTTGAGTGATGCTCACCCAACATTGTCCTCTTGCACTGTGTGGTAACAAATATTTACACAACACAGTAATCCAGGTGCTTTCCTGGTGCAGAGGCTGAGGGTAGCCAACTTGTACATTCTTGGTCCATCTTAAGTCCTAGAGTTGTTGTGATAAAGCAGAGATTTGTGGTGTCTCAGCATCCTTTTATTCCATCCCTTTGCAGATTCTGCTTGCAGCACTCTGCTCGGGGAGGTGTTTTAATACTTCTTCTGAGAACATTTTTGCTGAACGATACTTTTAGCCATCCACAGCCTTCTTAGGCTCCCCCTGGGAGACAGAGTCATCTTCCAGATGGATTACAGAACATCTCCACTAAGGATTTCCTGGAGGCAGCGTAGCTGTGCCTGGCTGTATGATTTCTGCAGTGCTTCACTTGGGATAGAGACCAAGTGGCCGCAGTGTGAAAAGAGAATTGGAGAGAATGGCTGGTTTCTTTCACAGATGTCCTGTCTCATCTCTGGACTCTGCTTACACAGCGCTACTTTCTGAGTGTAGGTCTTGCAGCTATGGTTGTGTGGCTTGGCACGTTTGTGGAGGCCAGAGCAGGGTCAGGAAACCACGTGAGACTTCAGTAAAATGAGTTAGGCGACTCAAAGGAGAAAAATAGGCTTTAACCTTGCTGCCTGGGGATCTTGCCCACAGTAAGCTCATGCAGTCACTTGAACAAACCCAACCACAACCCTTCATGTCTCTGGCTCCTGGGGAAAGCACAGTCCTTGTGTGGGCAAGTTCACATGGGGCCAGAGTGCCTGTGCTGTGTTACAGAGTGTCTGGGAGCAAGAGAGCAAAGTCTGCCTGCTGTCTGTCCTCTGCTGAAGGGCCCTGTGGGGGAGTAGATGAAGCTGTGTAGAAGAATGCTCATCTCCCTTCTCTCTTCCAGGCTTACCTGGAGTCCTTCTACAAGTTCTGCAAGACACTGGGAGGTACCACAGCAGATGCCATGTGCCCAATCCTGGAGGTAGGTCTGGAAACTTCCATAGCTGGATGGTATTACTGTGATGCTCATCACTCCCTGCTCAGGCCCAGCTTGTCTGCCAGTTGTTAAACATTCTGCAGTTCTTGCTCAGCATCCCCATGCCTGCTTCACCTGCTCACTGGGATCCCTGGGGAACACTGCCTGAGCATGACTTTGGTTCCCCAAGTACTGATACATTAGTTGCCTCTGTGGCAACATCTTCATCCTCTCATGTGGGTGACATGCAGGAGAGCTACCAGAGCTGTTGGAGTCACAGCCTGTCTCCATGCCAAAGCTTACTGTGAGATGTGCAGGACTTAGGAGTAGGGGAGAGTCACCCCTTGATTTGGACAGGATTTGGCTTGTTCCTGGGATGGGGATTTCCTCACCTGAATGCTCCCCAGGTACTGGGCATACTGGGAGAGCCTGCACTTGTAGACTGCCCTAGCTGAGCACTGGAGACCTGTACACATCCCAGGAGCCTCCTCCTGCTGCCCTCCTGATGTGGCTGTGTGCAGAGCAGCACTGATAGCTGCCAGCCTCTGCTAAAGATACTGCATCCCAGCATGAGCCACTCTCTTCCCGCAGTTTGAAGCTGACCGGAGGGCCTTCATTATCACCATCAACTCATTTGGTACTGAGCTGTCCAAGGAGGACCGAGCCAAGCTGTTCCCACACTGTGGCAAGCTCTACCCCGAGGGCCTGGCTCAGCTGGCCAGGGCAGATGACTACGAGCAAGTCAAAAATGTTGCTGACTACTACCCTGTGAGTGCTGTGGGGTGAGGGCACGGGGATTGGTACAAGAACCTGCTCTGCATCAGAGCTTCTTGAGGATCTGGGGAAACCTGTGACTTGACAGCCTGGGGAGAGAGGTGCCAGTCTTCTCTGATGCTGTTGGTCCTGTGCTCTCCTTGGGCAGGACTTGGCTTGCCTGAGATGTCATTGGCTTCTTAGTCATGGCTGTCATTTTAGGGGTGACTGGGAGACAATGTTCCCTGTCCAAGGGTGTGGGGACTGCCTTTACCACCAAACCCTTGAAGTGCTGATGTGGCAGCAGTGACAGGCTCTCCTTGCCTGATTTGGAATGGAAATGTATCTTCAGTGAGAAGTGATGTTGTCCCACTTCCAGCCTTGAGCTCTGGCTCAGTTGAAGGTGAGCTGCTGACCTGGGAGGACACGTTTGGATTTGTCTATGTTCAAGCCACTTTGTGCATGGCTGTGGACCTGTTTGGAGTCAGAGAGCTCAGTGTCCCTTTACTGAGCAGCCTGTGTGTGTGGGCACAGGGATCTGGCCCAAACACTCCAGTCTGTATGTGGAGGGGGTCTGTACCCAATGCCCCTTTTCCTGTGGCTTGAAGCAATGAGAACTGCACATTTTGGAGAAGGGGCAGGACTCTTGGTTTCTCTGTCCTCTGACTTGACAGGGTGTCTGGAGTATCTGTGACACAAGTGCTGCTGAGCTTGGGTACAGGGTATATCCTCATGTAATGTTTTCCTGCAGGAGTACAAGCTGCTATTTGAAGGGGCTGGCAGCAACCCTGGAGACAAAACCCTTGAAGACAGGTTCTTTGAGCATGAGGTGAGTGAGCCCTGAGATGCTTCTTGACATGTGCCATTTGCAAAGCTCCAGGTGTCAGGAAGCTGGTCTACTGCCCTGTCAGCAGTGCTGTGGATGAACAGGATTTGGGGGAAGGAGAAGCATGCTTGCCCTCTGCTCCTGCATGAGAACGGGGGCTGGCATAGTGCTTGGCCTGTTGTCTAACCCAGACAGATTCCAGCAGTGTGAGGAGGCATGTTTGGGGCTTCTAATGGATATTTGGTCCATCAATAGCAAAACCAGAGTGTAATTACATGGAAAATAAGGACTTTTTGTGGTACCTGAGTTATAAATATTTCCCCCTTCAGATGTCAGACTCTGTCCTGAGCCATGTGCTATAGGTTAGAGCTGTCCCAGGGACCTAGAGAGATGCAGAGCAGGATACCTGTGCAGAGCCTTCCAGCCTGCTGGGAAGTCATGGGTCCTTCCAAGCAGCTGCATGCTTGCCTTGACCAACTCCTCCTGTCTGAAGTGAACAAATGACATGTCCTCCTCTGGGCTTTCCCCAGGTAAAGCTGAACAAGCTGGCCTTCCTCAACCAATTCCACTTTGGAGTCTTCTACGCCTTTGTGAAGCTGAAGGAGCAGGAGTGCCGCAACATCGTGTGGATCGCAGAGTGCATCGCCCAGCGGCACAGGACCAAGATTGACAACTACATTCCCATCTTCTAACTCTGCTCTGCTCCTGTCCAACCCTCCCACCCCTGGAGTCTGGACAGACCCCTAACTCCCTGAATTACCCCATGCCCAGACTCCAGGGATGTCCAATCTGTGGAACTGGATCAAATGAGGAAACTGTACAGTTGCTAGTTAAATTATTCAAAAGCTGGAGTTGTGTGTGCTGTGAGATGTCCAGAGGGACCAGTGGTCCAGGCTTAGCCCTGTGCAGCAGGAGGGTCTCCTGTTGTGTATGCAGTAGTCACAGTGTTCCTGTACTAATTGCTGTGTGTGCTTATGCTCATAGAGCTGTGGGGGCTGCCTCTGAGAGAGTCCCACTGCTGCAGAGGAACGGGTCAGGTCTGCCATGGCTGGGGGGCCCTCTGTCAGTGCTCTGCACGTCTCCTACTCAGTGTTGTTCCTGTGAGATGTAGTTAGACTGTGGTTTGTAGCGTACCCCATGCTGCTGTGCAATCCCTGCATCCCCTTGTAGTGAACCCTGACCTGGGAGAGACCAAGCAACCCTGGCCAGGACTGGAATGGAGCCTGTGGGAATGTGAGGGCAGAGCCGGAGTGCTTGTGGAGCACAGTCCTCCCACTCTGGCAGTGTTTGCACTCATGCAGCCTCACTGTGTCTGCAGATTCAGCTCTCATCGGTCTCCCTGCCCTGGACAGGGCTCCATAAGCTGCCTGAGCTCCTTCCTCAGAGCTGTGCAGACCCACAGCTTGCAGTTTACTGACACAACCATGCAAGAGCTGGGGTTCCTCTGGGCTCTGCAGGCGGTGGTGGACCCCTGCACCCCTCCAGGGTAGACATCCAGGCTTCTCCCCTGCAGAGGGTGGATTGGCACTACCATGGAGCTGTACGGCACAGCTGGCCAGGGGACAGAGCAGCCTTAGTCACCCTGGTGGGGGCAGGGATGTCCCAGGCCCTGCCTATCTGTGGTCTAGGGTGGGAGCCAAACCCTGGGCATGGTGTGGCAGCCCTGCTCTTTGCTACTGTGTTCTGGCTAGCTCCTACTTGCACTTGAGTTCTGGGAGATGTGCAATGGCAGCAGACAAACCTTGCTGGAGGGAAACACGCTGGATGCTGCTGGGAGGAAGGATCAATGGAGAGTGGCTCTGTCCCAGCTTGTGCTGTGGTCACCTCTGCAGCTTGTTTTCCTGTGATCCCCTCCTCTCTACACCAATAAATATCTGCCTACTGCACTGTGCTCTCCTGCTTACTTGGGCACCTGCTCCCACAGCCCCAGATGGAGCCTCCATCAGTCACAGGGAATCTGGTAGTTGTGGTGGTGGAGCCTCGTGTGGTTCCTGTGTGAGTTGGGACACTTGTTTGTACCACAGGAATCATGGTACCACCCCATGAGGCCCAGAGTACTCCCTCCAGCCCAAGCCAGGACAGTGCCTGGCTGCTGAGCTAAGGGGTGCAGCCTTATGGGAATGGTCCATAAGGTGAGGGAGCTGCATGGTTTGTCCCTGGTGCCTGGGGCTGTCCACATGGGCCACTGTCACCGCTGCCATCCTTGCCCCAGCAGGGCCACAGAGTCGGAGCAAAGCAAAAGAAAGCTTTTGGCACAGGGCTGGGGAGGAGCAGGGAACAGGCACAAATCCCTCCTGGCAGGCTGAGCCCTTTTCTGGGAGTACCTGTGGCACCTGCTGCTGCATGTGAGGCTCCTGCCACAGTGCTCAGCGCGGTGCCAGCCATGACCAGCTTAGCTCTGCCCACAGGCTGGGCATCCCTGAGCAGCACTGCAGCACTGCACTGTGGAAGGAGACAGCCAGAGCCTGCTGGAATATCAAGAATGGATTTATTTAAAAAGTGACAATCACATAGTTCATCTCATGAAGAGCTCTGCAGCACTGGCAGCCTGTTCTTGGCCCCTGCACTCGTCAGGAGCGTGTGGAGTGTGTAATGAGTGGCAGGGAGGCAGCGGCCACAGGGTCCCAGCCCTGACCCAGCCAAGAGGGGATGGAGACAAACAGCTCTGAGAGCAGTAAGGAAGGTGGTGGTAGCTGAGGAGGTACATCCCAGCCTGTGGTGCAGAGCTGCTGCGTCAGGCGGGGATGGGCCTCTTGGACGGTACATGGTTAGAAAAAATACAAAACCAAGGTCTCTAGAAAATGTTGATTCTTGCACAATAGAAAATAGATCTACCTGATTTTGGAAAGAAATTTGGTTTTAAACGTCTAGTGCTGATTGTTCCCCCAGGGTGCAGGAGGGCGGTGCCTTTGGCTCTGCACGCGCTCAGGGGCCTGCAGAGCCCTGGAGAAGGCCCTGGGCAGGCCCAGGTCAGGCCTTCTTCACATCCTTGTGGTGCTCTCGCCGCAGGGCTCGGGGCAGCTTGGGGTTGATGAAGAATCCTTTCAAGAACAAGTCTCGGACAAAGTAGGGCAGGTAGCGGTGTATGAAATACATGATCCCAAGGCCCTGCCCTGGGTAGTAGCGCACGGCTGGGTTGGCAGCCAGAAGCCCCTCTGTGATGCTGTTCACCACCGCGCTGAGGTCCTCCACTGCCACCTTCATGAACTGGATGAACTGCTGGTTGATCTCCTCCACATACTCCTCACCATAGGCCTGCAGCAGCTCCTGGGGCAGGCTGGCCAACAGCTGCTGCTTGTGCAGGTTCCAGAAGGCAGGGTCACACGTTGTCCCTACAAGGAAACAGTCCCTGTGAGCTGTGTGGGCCCCCCACTTCAACCCCCTTGCCATGGGTGCCAGCAGCCCCAGTCACCCTCCAGCCTCACAGAAAGGTCTAGCTGAGACCCTGGCAAAGACTGCCACGAGGGAAGTACAGTAGTAGCACCATAGTGGCTCTTGCTAGCTTGAGACTGGACCAGGGGTCTTGGACCCTGCCTGCAGTGGGGATGCCACTGTCATAAACGTGACTGAGCTGCTTTGACCAGTCCTAGTGCTATGGACTGGTCAAGGACTTGATCCTGATGCTGTTTCAATCCATCAAGAGCCCAACGGCCACAGGATAGCCACTGTCCCTGTATGGCTGGAGATACTCAGAAGCTGCATGCTTGCACTACCAACTGCTCATCCCATTGCTCCATTTTCTGCCTCCCTGGGCTACTTGTCCTTTGCCCACAGGCACAGGCAGGAGCAGGCACTGACCCTCTTACCTGTTTTGTAGTATCCAGGCAGGATGAGGCTGACTTTGATGCCCCAGGGCTGGAGCTCGCTGCGGAAGGTGTCCATGACCAGGCTGAGGGCTGCCTTTGAGGCCCCATAGGCTGCCAGGCAGGGGAAGGGCATGTCACCTGGCAGGAGTGAAAGAATGAGTGAACCAGTGCTCCAGCAGGGACAGAGGGAAGTGGGGGGAAAGGGCAGGGCTTGTGTGGGGCTGTGTTCCTGGCCCCTGCTTAAGGAAATGGCTTAGGGTTTGTTTTGCTGACAAAACAACTGAAAATAGCTTCAAATTAATGTTTTAATGGGGGGAAAAAAAAGTGGTGAGGGAAGAGGAAATTGATTTTGCTCCCTGTCCAGCTAAAGCTTGGGAATGTCATCCCCAATGGAGGATTAGTGTGTTTTAATGGGCAAAAAATAGGGCAGGGGAAAGGAAGTTGATTTTCCCACCCTGGCTGGGGCTGTCATCGCCAATGGAGGCACATGCCAGCTGGGCTTGGGTTGCCCGTGCTGCCTGTGACCAGGCTGACTGTCCCCAATCCCCCTGGCTCCTCATGTGTTGGTGGCTGCTGTGGGGTTCAGCAGTGCTGCCAGCTCATCCTGGATATTCCTGGTGCCAGTTGGCTGGAAGGAAGGAGCGCCTGGGGGTGGGAATTGCACCACACCATGGGGATGCTCAAGCCGTGCCTGGGCTGAGGGTGCTGGGGGTGCTACACTGGAGGGAGGCTGCTCACCTGCAGGGCTGCTCACGGTGACAATGCGGCCGCCAGCAGAGCGGAGCAGGGGCAGCAGCCCCTTGGTGAGCTCCAGGGAGCCAAAGAAGTTCACCTCCATGCAGGTGCGGAACTTGCCCAGCGGCGAGAGCTCAGCGTCGGCGATGGTGTCATTGAACCCAGCGTTGTTCACCAGGCCCCAGAGTCCTGTGGGAATGGGATGCTTGAAGAGGTGACCTGAATGGGGAAGCCCCACCCCAGGATTTCCAGCTGCTCCCCAGGCTGATGGGGGTCCTGCAAGGGAATTGTAGGGTGCCCCAGGACAAGAGAGCTTGGCAAAGGCTGTTGGCGCAGGGACGCAGCCCCCCGTGGAGACACATGGAGGTTTGCCACTGCCAGGCTGGCTGCAGGCTGAGGTCCCAGGGAGTTCTGTGGGCTTCTGTGAGGTTGCCAAAGGCAGCTCCTACCTGTGCTGTTGGTGTGGGCCTGGATATGCTGCAGGACGCGCTGGATGTCCTCTGTCTTGGTCAGGTCCATCTGCAGCAGCGTCAGCCTCGATGAGCAGCTCTGGCGCAGCTCCTGGGCACCAGGACTCTGCAGGTCCAGCACGCTGGCAAACACCCGAAAGCCCATGATGTCCAAGTGCCTGGCTGTTGCCTGCCCAAAGCCCGAGTCACATCCTGAAAGAGATGGGAAGAGCCTTGCAGTGGCCAGTGACAGCCTCTGTCTGTCTCCAGCCTCCAAAGATCCCCTAGCTCTGCCTCTCCAACCGCAGGAACCAAACATCCACCCCAGCATCAGTTTTCCTTGCCTGAGCACCACCTCGGCTCCACACCCTGCTGTGGCTCCTGACTCACTAGGATGTGACCTTGCCCTGGGGCATTTGGAGGTCATGGAGCTGCTCTGTTTTCTCTCCCTTGCAGGAGGAAGAAAACGCTCCCTTTATCTGCAGCCCCATCTTCCCCAGAGCTGCAGGCAAACCCACAGAACAGCGCAGAGCCCTGCAGCGAAGCGGGGCCATCAGCCCTCAAAATAGCCTCTAAAAGCTCCATCAAGCACCATTCATAGCTGGCATAAGGCTCCGTGGGAGACTTTTGCCGAATGCCTTTCGCCTCCCAGAAAGTGATCAAGAGGCAGAGGACCTCTTCGCCTGGCTGAGGCATGAGGGAATTAAAAAGGGTGAGGGAAAATAAAAGGATTCTGGTCTACTCCTGTTACCTTTCATCCTTCAAGGGAGCATCCAAATGGGATGGACCCCTCGGGAGAGTACTGGTGCTCCATGCCCGGTCCCAGCCTCATTTCCTCCATCCCTGCTCAAACAGAGGCGCCACAGGTGACACTGGCACCTGCAAAGCCACCATCGGGGTGGCTGGGAGACAGCCCGGGCTGGAGCTGGCTGTTGCAGAGCGGTGACAAGGCCAGTGGCCAGGGTGGAGCGGCCAGGATGCAAACAAACAGCAGCAGCAAGGTACAGGCTGTTCCCGGGGCCGATGGCAGCACTGATAGCTCGGGGAGTCTGTGCCACAACCGCTGCCCAGTCACATTAACCATTAACAGGAGAGCGCTGCAGGGGCAGCCCCATGGCCCTGTACCCTCCTGCCCTGCACCTTTGGGTGCTCGTGGGGACATCCTGAAAACCGGCCCTGTGTGGCACCTGGAGCCACCCCGAGTGGACACAACAGTGGCCCTGGGGACTGTTACCTCACGAGATTCAGCAACCCTCCACCAGCCTTTGGGGGTGAGAGGTGGGCATAGGGACTGGCTGCCTCACTCTTCCACACCCCCAGGCTGGGATCAGGCACAGCTCTTGGGGTGCCAGCTAAGCATCAGTTCAGTGTCTCTGTCCCAGTTCCCAGCTCAATTTTACTCCCTTGCTGCGTCAGAAACCTGTAATTAAACCTCTGGCCAGAGGCCAGAGTGATAACACAGCCCAGAGGTGCTCAGTTGGCAGGAAGGGGCTGCAGGGGCCTCCCTTTCCCACACAACACCCCACACTCATCATGGATGTGTGCCTGGTTGGCTCAGCATCACCCCAGCATTGTCCCTGGCATTGCCCCAGCATCACCCCCAGAACCCTGGTCCGCAGGGCATGCTGAAGGAACAGCACATCCACCTCTCCCCTCCCTAGGAGCAGTGCATACTGCCAGCAGACAAACAGATAAGGTGCATTTCACCTTTCCAAGCAGTGCAGGAGAAAACTGCAATAAAGATAAGGTTTAAAAATAAAAGTGCTCGTGGCCGCAGCCTCACCATGACGCAGCTGACAGGAGGGTTACCTGCAGTGCTCCCATGCAGCTGGCAAGAAAAGCTTCCAGTCCAAACATGAAGCTTCCTATCACCACGTAACTCTCAAAACCCCGGGAAACATCCCAAAAAACTGAGAGCCAGGTTTGCTGGCTTCTTATGGGCAAGTCTGGCAAGGAGGTAGCAAACACAGCCACATGCTGTCCAAGTCAGGCAGGGTTTGTTTTGCCTTAGAGGAGCAGGGAAGTCAGAGGGTTTGTTTCGGAAGTTCTAATTTATTCACACACATACCAAATAAAAAAACTCCTGGGAGGCTGGCCGGAGGCCCAAGGCCAGGAGGGTGAGGATGCTCTGGTGTTATTTAAGGTCTCCGCTGCTGCTCAGCTTCCCATCCGCTGTGCTCAGGCATGGCCAAGAGTGCAGGGAGGGACAATGAACCCCCTGGGCCCATAACACGTGGCCCCAAAGCATGGCAGCTTTCCCAGGGCCATGTTCACTCCCCATGGCCACCAGCACATGAGCTGCTGGCCACGCCGGAGCTGGCACGGGAGCCATTGCCGCTGGCCCGGCCCCGCCGGGAGCGCTGGAGCCGTGCAGTCTGTGCAGCCCCAGCAAGGCTGGCGCTGGGCTCGCTGCCCTCCCAGGACGCTGCATCACGAGGAGATGCCGGCGCCAGTTCCCCCCGCCCCAGCTCCCAGCTTGCCAGCTGGTTTCACAGTCCTGCTGGAGGGAGGGACGTGGTCAGATCAAGCACAGGAGCCCAGCACTGGGAGCGCAGCAGAGGAGAGCAGGTACCTTGAAGCCCCCTGCATCGCATCCCCATGGACCCTGGGCCAGCAGACAGAGGCTTTTGCTGCAGCAGGAGCAGAGCAAAACCCGAGTCCAGGTTGAAAAATCCAGCAACCTTGCACAGGCTCAGCAAGCCGGGACAAACTCCTGCACCAGGGGCCGGCCGGACATTTCCCAGAGCAGCAGGTCAGCAGCAATTCCTGAGAACTTTACAAAAGCTCCAGCCACTTCAGCGGCTCCCCAAAGAGTGAGAGATGCAAGCCTCCACTAGAATTTTGGCATGACAAGCCCTGATTTTACTTATCTTGAGCAAGCAAAAAGGTTTGGCCTCCAGCATCATCATAAGGGGTGCCCTCCCACCCACTCGGGGAGGGAAAGAGGACTGACACCACAGCATCTTGCATCATTGTCCAGAGCTGCTCCTCACGGTGACAGCAGAGCCACCGCCGGGGCTGAGCTGTGCCAGCTGGGCAGCTCCCAGCCAGCCTGCACCGCTCGCCTTCCTCACTCCAGGAGCCGGCCGGAGCTGCAGTCCCGGTTTGGTGCGGACACATTTCTTTCAGGTGAGTCAGGCATGGCACGCTCTGACATTTTGCTGTCTCAGGTATTCACCCTGCTCTCCTGCACCAGCACCAAGGCCACCATACACAGACATGCTCAAAATTAGTGCTACAGTTTTCTGATTGGAGCAGAGAGGGTCAGTAACACGGCTGTGACCCGGGAGCTGATGAACCACAACCACCTGCCTGCCCCTGCCCCCACTGCTGGCACGGTACGTGATGGAGGGCTGGCAGCACAGGTCTGCAGTGCTCACCCCAGCACAACCTAGGAGTGACTTTCCTTCCCCAACTGTGAGCTGAGTCCCCATCCATGAGCCATGAGCTGTGCAGGCTCATTCTGGAGCTTTGGAATTGCAAGCTGGGCATCTTAAGCCGAGTTACAAGCCTTCTTCATCCCCAAGCCATGAACTGTGTACATCCTCAGCCTCATCCCTGAGCCATAAACTGAGCACCCTCATCTCTGAACCAGAAGTTGTGCATCCTTATGACCTCTGTATCCTGAACCATGCACAACATGTGAGGACCAACGAAAACTTAAGCAGTGAGAATCATCAGCTTGGCTAAAGAATTCCCATGTGCCTGCAAAACTGCCCAGAGCCCGTTGGGTACAGTGGCAGCTCCCTGGATCTGGTGCCTCCACAGCCACCCCAGCTGAGGACCCTGGTGTGGAAGCTGAAGAGGGGTTGCCCCAGGGCTGAGCACCCTTGTGATGGACCAGCTCCCCCATGGTCATCCTAGCAGTGTGGTCAGTCAGCAGCCCTAGGGCTGTGCCCCAGGCACCTGGCAGCAAGGCAGCTCAGGCACCCCGTGAGGATGCTCCATCTTCCACCGACTGGGAGCTTGCCAGCTGAGTTGGGCATTCAGAAGGACATCATCCCCTCCACCCCCATCAGCTCTGCAGCCCCTTGCCTGGGTGCTCCCTGCTGCTCCTCAAATCCCAGGACATCAGTCCCCCCTCCCCAAAGAGCTTTAGAGCTGTGTGTCCCAGCACCCTGTCCAAGAGGCCTTGCCAAGGTGGAGCTGTCACCAGGCTCAAGGACACCATCAGTGGGGCACCAAGGCCAAATGATTAACATGCTGAGCCACTTGTTTCCATGGGCTCAAGCTCAGACTCTGCCTGGGATGCCAAGCTAAGTGTGTCCTTCTGGCTCTGACAGGATTCACTGCCATCATGGATCCATGGATTCTCTGGGCACAGTGTGGGATTTAGCAGCACTGAGGGAGGCTCAGCTGGGTGCCTGAGCAGGCACTGATCCCAACTCAGCTGTTTGTCTCAGCTCCATCCTGGGAGTGTGACCACCTCATGGGTGCAGAAGCACAGGACAAGGTGGCACCAGCTGGGGATGGTGCCATCAGAGGGGATGGCAGTCCCCCAGAGGAACCCAAGGAGGAGATCTTTGCACAGTGCAGGTCCAGGCATGATAAAATGCCCAGCAAAATCTTGTGTGGGCAGGACAAGGCCCAGTGGCCAACACCTTCCGGATGCTCACACATTTGGAGCAAGGAGTGATAAAGGGGTGATGTCAGCCCTGGGCAAGAGGGAACAAATTCTTGGCAGGGCACAGGATAGGGAGGGGAAGGCAGGAGCACCTGTCCCCACAGCAGCTGGGCCACCACAGCCACGCACTAGCCCTGGCTCCCCAGCCAGGCATGAGCCACCATCTGCCCACACCCAAGGTAATTCTGTGGGAGTGGGGCTGGGAAGGGGCACCCACAGCCCCCAACCCATGCAGAGTCATCACTGTTCACAGGAAACACCACCCCAGCCACTGGCTTGCATGGCATGCCATGTCCCCATTCCCTGTGGGAGCAGCCCTCGTGCCCAAGCACAGGCAGACAGGGCTGGGGTAGCAGCAGGCCCGGTGATGTTACTGCTGGTCCTCAGCACTGGGGTTCAGGAAGCCACAAGCCTAATTAAATTAAATTAAAGCCAGAAGATACCTTTAGGGATGACCCAAATCCCATCCCCAAATCCCTAGTGAGTGGATAATGCAGGAGCCCCCCACCCAAGCAGCCTGGCTGTGCATCCCTGCAAAGCCTCAGCCTCCTTCCTGAGCAGGACCTGAGCCAAGGGGGGCTCACACTGC